TTGGGGGTCTGTGGGGGCTCTGAGGGGATTTGGGGGGGTTCAGGGGGGGATCTGTGGGGGTTTTGGGGGGTTCTAAGGGGGTTCTGTCCCCATTGTCCCCATTGTCCCTATTGTCCCTATTGTTCCCATGTCCCCAAATCCCATTGTCGCCATGTCTGTGTGTCCCCATATCTGTGTGTCCCCATTTGTCCCCATTGTCCCCGTATCGGTGTCCCCATTTGTCCCCCTGTCCCCATTGTCCCCATTTGTCCCTTTCGTCTCCATATCTGTGTCCCCATTTCTCCCCATTTGTCCCCATTTGTCCCCATATCTGTCCCCATTGTCCCCACTTGTCGCTTTCGTCCCCATATCTGTGTGTCCCCATTGTCCCCATATTTGTGTCCCCATTGTCTTTACTGTCCCTTTTGTTCCCCATTTGTCCCCATTGTCCCTATTTGTTCCTTTCGTCCCCATATCTGTGTCCCCATTTGTCCCCATTTGTCCCCATTGTCTCCATATCCCATTGTCTCGTCTGTCCCCATTTGTCCCCATTTGTCACCACTGACCCATTGTCCCCATATCTGTGTGTCCCCATTTGTCCCCACTGTCCCCATTGTCCCCATTTCCCCATTTGTCCCCAATGTCCCCATATCTGTGTCCCCATTTGTCCCCATTGTCTCCATTGTCTTCATATCCTATTGTCCCCTTTGTCCCCATTTGTCCCCAATGTCCCTGTTTCTGTGTGTCCCCATTTGTCCCCATTGTCCCCATATCCCATTGTTCTCTCTGTCCCCAATGTCCCCATATCTGTGTGTCCCCATTTGTCCCCACTGTTCCTATTGTCCCCATTTCCCCATTTGTCCCCATTGTCTCCATATCTGTGTCCCCATTTGTCCCCATTGTCCCCATTTGTCACTTTCGTCCCCATATCTGTGTGTCCCTGTTTGTTCCCATATCTGTGTCCCCATTTGTCCCCCCTGTCCCCATTGTTCCCATTTGTCCCGTTTGTCCCCATATCTGTGTGTCCCCATTTGTCCCTATTTGTCCCCATTGTCCCCATATCTGTGTCCCCATTGTCCCCATTTGTCCCCATTGTCTCCATATCCCATTGTCCCGTCTGTCCGCATTTGTCCCCATTTGTCACCACTGACCCATTGTCCCCATATCTGTGTGTCCCCCATTGTCCCCATTGTCCTTATTGTCCCCATTTGTCTCCACTGACCCCGTTGTCCCCATTGTTCCTATTGTCCCCACTGTCCCTATTGTCCACATTTCCCCATTTGTCCCCATTGTCCCCATATCCCATTGTCCCCTCTGTCCCCATTTGTCCTCAATGGCCCCATTTCTGTCTGTCCCCATTTGTCCCCATTTGTCCCCACTGACCCCATTTGTCCCCACTGCCCCTATTGTCCCCATTTCCCTATTTGTCCCCATTGTCCCCATATCTGTGTGTCCCCATTTGTCCCCATTGTCCCCACTGTCCCTATTGTCCCTATTGTCCCCATTTCCCTATTTGTCCCCATTGTCCCCATATCTGTGTGTCCCCATTTGTCCCCATTTGTCCCCACTGTCCCTATTGTCCCTATTGTCCCCATTTCCTTATTTGTCCCCATTGTCCCCATATCCGTGTGTCCCCATTGTCCCCTTTGTCCCGCTGTCACCACCCCATTCCGGTCCCATCCGCCCCGCAGGGTGGTGACAGTGACATTGTGTAGGGTGACATTGTCACCTCAACGGGGGAGGGGGGGGAGGGGACAGCAGGAAGTGACACACGGGGAAGGGGGGG